GGGGTCACCTGAAAGCTGCTGAGGGTGCCCCCGAGCCCCCTGTGTCACTGGGGAAGGGATCAGCTCACACTGGTCCCAGTATGGAGCCCTGGGGACACCACTGATGGCCAGCAGGGCTCTGAGCCTTGAAATAATCTAAAAGCCCTAAATATAAAAAGTTGATTTTTCACTCAGAACTTGAAGAATAGAGAAGAAACAAGTGTGTGGAGTGCATTTAAAATACGAGAGCTATTAAACAATTTGCTTTTAAAAACAACCAAGAGTTGTCAATTTGAAATGATACATGTGTTGTCACACTTCCAGGAGTGTCTGTGCAGTACTGCACAACCCATGTTGTGTTTACAGGGGCAAAGGCTTTCCTAAAAATTAAGTTTTCAAGAGCTTGAGAGAAGTGTCAACACTGTTAATAGTTAATTATTGTATTTCCATGGTTTCCTGCTCCTGGAGCATTCCCTGTAAAACCACAGCATCCCATGAAAGGCTGGAGTGGTACCTCAGCAGGGATTGGTTTCTGCAGGAAATATTATTTCAGAAAACAACTTTGTGAAAGAGAAAGGAGTTTTTCCAAGTGTGGGGGACCCAAATGCTCACATTTACCCAGCCCCTGCCCCACGACCCACCTGGGCACATCGAAGGACTGTGCCTTCTGCAGCTTTGCATTGAGCTGAGCTCCTGGCCCGGATCTGCTGAAGGAAGAACTCTTTGGCAATGTGGCTGTGAAGGAGAAAACAGGGATTTATCAGTGCTAACACTTCAAACTGGAGAATGTCCAGGGCATTCAGTCAGCTCCTAACATGACACAAGCACTCTGGGTCTGATGGGATCTCTTTAACAGTATAAAGGTAAGGGAGTCCAACAGAACAGGGGGAAACACGAGGGCTCTTCCCTCATGTTTTTTTTCCTTTTGCAGTTTTCTGCAAACCCTGTTGACATCAAAATACATTGTGGATAAAGATCTGTAGCCCAGTATTTTACAGCCCTCCTAACCAGCAGTACTTAACAGTTATAAAGAGACAGGAGAGGCCCAATTTCCTGGCACCAGGTGATTTCTCCGAGAGGTATTCCATTTTCTCCCCGTGACAGACTGCTGCAGTGGGACACGTCCACACTCCTCCTTTCACTCTCCTCCCAGTGCCACCCAGTGCCACCGGGCTCGAGCCCAGCCCAGTCCTTACCCAAAGGCATCCTTAGAAAGGCTGCTGGCCCGTGTGCTGCCCTCTGGCTCCAGGGGGAGAGGCAGGGCAGGGTTAATGGCAGAGGAGGGAGCTGAGCGTACCGGGGTGAGCGAAAGCAGGCAGAGGCTGGATGACAGCGGGAGCTCCGTTAGCCAGGGGAGGGACGGCGGGGACGGAGGACACTAGGGGGGGGGACATCCCCACCACCGGCATGGAGGCCATGGGCACCGGGGCCACGGAGCCGAGGGACGGCATGTTGGCAATGCCCCCGAGACCTACGGGCGAGAAAGGAGAGAGTTGTGCTGGGTGAGACACTGGAGACAACGCCTGCAGCCTCCCCAGGGTGGGGAGAGGATCCCAGGGGGAACCTGCACCCCCCAGGGCAGAGGGAGCAGCACCCCACTGAGGTGTGAGCACAGAACACCACGCTGGGTGCTGCACTGCCCCAGGAAGTCCCTGAGGGTTTGCTAAGACAGGAATGGTTTGCCTACACAGAACACCACCCTGGGTGCTGCACTGCCCCAGGAAGTCCCTGAGGGTTTGCTAAGAGAGGAATTGTTGGCCTGGAACTGAAGGAAGAGCAGCACCGTGAGCTCCAGGCAGGAATGAACCCCCAGCCTGCACAAGGAGCTGCAGGATCAGTACTCCCAGCTCTTGCTGGGATGAAACGGGGCAAAGCTAATGGGGACAGCACAGTAATGAGTGTTTTAGGGGTGAGCAGAGTTACAGGGAGAACAGGGAGGTTAAAAAGGGCCAGTCAAGCCAGTGGCAAGAACAAGCAAACAGCTGGGATCAAGTGTACAGGGAATGAGAGAAAGGGAATCCCAGATTTTGCTGATTTTTGTAGGGGGTTAAATTTATTCTGCCTTTTCTCACTTAAACCTGTATTTGCTCTGTCCAGTTTCATTGTTTTCTTAAGGTTTTATTTGTGACTGTAAAACCTGAGTGGCAGCAGATCAAACCCCATTGCTGCAGGCAGCTTATCAGAGGCACTGTTCCCTTTTCTTAGGACATTTAGGTGGGACATTGGGAAGGAATTCCTGGCTGGGA